ACACAATGGGCTATCTGTGCTCTGCCCACCACGGGCATCGAACCCGGATTCTAGCGTTGTAAGTCCGCAGACATACTGCTGTGCCACTGGGGGGATATTTTGGGAAATTGTTTGTTTGTTTGAAGTTAAGCACAAAGCTACACAATGGGCTATCTGTGCTTTGTGCACCACGGGTATCGAAACCCGGTTTCTAGCATTGTAAGTCCGCAGACGTACCGCTGTGCCACTGGGGGGCATTTTGGGAAATCCTGAAGAAAGGCATTTTTCTAAATCAGTTTTGGAACTCAAATGCTAAGAACTGGTTGTAGTTTCATATTCTGACAAAGGTTCGAAGTCAGTCCTCAAATAAACTGTTATTTCACCGTATCATGGACGCAGGCTAGTGGTGAATGTGCCAGACTGTGGATCCGAAGGTCCATGGTTCTTATTCCGTTGGGAAAGGTTACTGCTGCTTTCCCTCCAGCTGCATGGCCAGGTGGTTAGGGCGCTCGATTCACAATCTACGGGTCGTGGTCTCGAATCCCTGTCCCACCAAACATGCTTGCCCTTTCAGTCGTGGGGTGTTATAAAGTGTCGGTCAATCCCACTATTTGTTGATAAAGGGTAGTCGAAGAGCTGGCAGTCTAGTCAATCACTGCTAAATTAGGGACGGATAGCACAGACAGCCCTCGTGTAGCTTTGTGCGAAATTCAAACCAAACCCTGCATTCTGTCAGTTCAAAAGTAGGGAAGGCTATTGCAGATAGCCCTTGGATAGTTTTACGCGAATATTAGAAACAAACAAAACACCAGATCATCCGAGAGGAATATTCATACACAGGGTCATTCAAGAACAATGTATAATGAAACGAATTTCTCCACAAAACTCGAAATTGTGTCTCATGCTGGAGTATTCAGATAACAAATATAGTAAAGCTAGCAATACAATTCATTCGAGGTAAATGTTATGGTGAATCACACACAAAATGGATACCACAAACACGAGAAAGTCGAGTTAGGCCCCGTTATGAATCCTTTTCATATTAAAATTTTTTAACTTTGTTAATTTTTAATACAATTAAATTAATTGTCTTGAAGCAGAGGCCTATAATTTTTATATCAGGCTAAATATTTGATTAATTCTAACAGAGATTATAATGTTAACGCAAACGTAGCAACAATGAGTTTAGGTGAATAATTAAAAATGTTTATTGCTTGGGAAATCACTGTATTTAGACATATAATTTTATATAACATAAATTCTTTTTTTTTAATTCGAAATTGAAAACAGATTCAAAAACTCAGAGAATATTAAGCCATCTGTCGGGCAGCAAATTAAACAAATCGTGCAACACAATTTAACAACTGTGAGACCAAAGCTATTGAAGGCTTAAAATTATTTAATTGTCATACAGAAAACAATATTTTATTTGCTTCGCTGAAAGGAAAAAAAATACTGTTTTAAATTTACCCCAAGCAAGATTGAAAAACAAGTAATAACAACAACAAATCAACCAGCAACTAAAAGACAATGTGACTTAAATAATACTTCTAGTAACCGGTATGTGCTGCTACCTACTGTGCTATTTGTAATATAATTAATTAGGAAGCTTATATTTTGTACTACTAGATGGCAACACTAAACAGATATTAATTCGTTGTATTGGTGAATCATGGTAGAAAGTACAAATTGACTTTTTTACCTATTTCATATGATTATACGACATATGTTCCTAAATGACAGTTATTTTTTATATCTATATAACTTAATACATATTATTACACTTTGCAAAATGAATATCTGTAGCTTATCAAAACACGAACTACACGACGTTACTTCTGCCGTAAAACTAAACTAAATAAACGTTGTTTAGCATAAAATGTGCTTTGGTGTTTGATTGTTAAGAGTTTTCGCTATATTATACAAGAGTTACCTGTGCATAGCATCCCGACGTTTCAGCTGATAAAAAGGAGGGAAGGCAACTAGTTAACAGCATCCTCCGCCAACTTATGGGTTATTCTTAACTGACAGAATAGTGGCTTTGACTGTCAAACTTTTCACGCACCTTCACATTTACAATCCAGGCAGGCGAATAATAGGCCATTTACTTTTGTTTCCACCAAAAACCTGCTGCCATATGCCTACAGCTAAAAATGCAGAAATCATTCAGCAGGATCACGCCTCGATCTATGGACCTTCAGAAACGCAGCCCGGCACATTAACTTTATCATGATCTCCCGAAGAAACAAAAATATGAAAACTTAGAGTGATTTATAAGAAAGCAAAGCATTGTCTGCTAAAGTAAGGTCCTATATATATTACTTCTAAGTATAAATAACATGTATGAAAAAAAAAAGCACTTAAACTTTAAATATGGAAGAAGTATTAAGGACACAAAGTAATACACATTCTCTGAAAAATACGACATTGTATTTTAGACTGTTTTGACTTAGTTAGGTTTCAGTTACAAAAATATCAGAATTTTGCAAAAATAAAATAAAATACATAAACACTATTGTTGTTTTCGTTATGCTTGTGTAATTTAACTAAGTTCGAGTTCTAAGTGTACGAGAATTGGCGTGATTAGCGTATCGGGCTACCCATGTCGCTAAATTGGTTTGTTTGTTTGTTTTGAATTTCGCGCAAAATTACACGAGAGCTATCTGC